GGGAAGGGAAGGGAAGGGAAGGGAAGGGAAGGGAAGGGAAGGGAAGGGCAAAGTTTCTCCAAAGGAAAATAAAACTCAATCAAACAAATGTAAATGGTTGCCTATTTTATGATCTCAAAATAAAATAAAAAAATAAAATAAAATTATGGCTCAGATGAAATTGCTTTGGGCAGAGATTCAACCCACATTTCACAATTGATAGAGCAGCTACCCCCTCCTCCTCTTTCTGCTTATTTGTTAGAATGGTATGATAAGAAGTAATTAGGAACTTTCAAACAGCCTTTTATCATTTTTTTCAGAACGGGCAGGTTTTCTGAACAGATGTTTGAACAACTATCACATTGCCTGAACAGTCAAGATATGGAGTAATCCAGAATTTAGTTCTTCATGCAGTGTCTAAAGATATTCTTTCTCTCTCTCTTGTATTAGTATCTCATTATATAGAGATTATAATTGTGCGTGCATGCATGCGTGTTTGTGTGTGTGTATGCATATGTATGTATGTGTGTGTGTGTGTATGTGTGTATATATGTGTATGTGTGTGTGTGTGTATATAGATCGTAGCTGGATCATAAATCACATATACTGTACATTAATTGACATTAACAATCCAAGATAATCTTTCAGATTACAGATCTTCCAAAACATTGACTTTGAATTCATTTTACTATGGCTTAGGGTTTCCTGAAGGAACATTGGATCTGATAATGATCAGAAAAAGCTGGTTCGCTGTTCATTGAAAAGAGAATGACAAATGTTCCATATTTTACTAGTCTCTCTATTGCCTGTTAAATGTAAGCACATGAAATCATCCAGTGTTGATTTTCTGGCTGAAGGAATGAAAGAAGGGCATCAAAAGTAGAAAAAATTACTAAATTATTAAACTACATTGATATTTAATGTAACCCTATGTATCTCCGTAGGATACCAGCATCAACAGTATTGAAATAAAGAACCAGACACCCATAAGGGAGTTCATCCTGGTTGGTCTATCTGCAACAACGTACATGCAGATAATTCTCTTCTGGATATTCATATTCATCTACATTACAGCTCTGAGTGCCAACTTCCTCCTCATTCTTACCGTTTGCACTTTCAGGAAACTCCACACACCCATGTACCTCTTCATTGTCAATTTGTCCTTAGTGAATGTATTCTCTATTTCAATTACAATACCTAAATTGCTCCACAGTCTTTTGACTGGGAGACAGACCATCTCATTTCATGGTTGCCTTACTCAGGTCTATATGTTTATATGGGCTGTAGGGACAGAACTCCTGCATCTCTCCTTTATGGCTTTTGATCGCTATGCTGCTATCTGTCACCCTTTCCAGTACCACATGATCATGAGGAAGCAAGTGTGTGTTTGTGCAGCTGTTGGAGTGTGGGTTGTGGGACTAGTTAATACTTCAACTCATTCTGCACTTTTGAATCAGCTGTCTTTTTGTAACACCAACATCATCAATCATTTCTTCTGTGACCTTCCCCCACTGTTGCACCTCTCATGCTCAGATTCAGCTCTAAGTGTGGTGGTCTTATCTGCCTCAGATTGGATATTAGGAGTTGGTTGTTGCGGGTTTACTCTAACATCATATTTTTTTATTATAAGAACTATCTGCAGAATCCGTTCCACTGAAGGGAAGAAGAAAGCATTCTCCACCTGTTCCTCACATTTTTTTGTAGTCAGTATTTTCTACTCCTCAGTCATCTACACATATATCAGACCTTCTTCAGCCTATGCTCCAGAACAAGATAAGATAGTGGCTCTTCTATACTCAGTGGTAACTCCTCTTGCTAATCCAGTCATATATTCATTGAGAAACAAAGATTTTAAGGAAGGAGTGAAAATTCTGAGAGGGAGAATTGGGCTGCTCAGTGGGCTTCAAAACTGAGTTTTATTCTAAAGCATCATTCTGAGGAAAGAAATAAAAAATTAAGAAAACAAGCTAAGAGAAGCCAACATATTATACATAAATGGAACAGTTTTTCATTTTATACTTTTTGTTTTATCTAAGTTGTACTCTGTTACTTTTATTGTCTATGTATAATGGCTGTATTTATTTCTCTGTAGATGAATTTAATAATTCTGACACTTACACAGAAAGTAAATACTAGGAAATATACTTAGATGCTTAATATTTTTGTCTTTGTGGTCATTTGTTGGAAAGAATAGAACTCTGAATACGATGTCACTCAGAACAGGATCCTCACTCACTTTCATATGCACAGCCATTTACTGTATGCTGAGGGTTATTTCCTACTTAGATTTACAATGAAAGTGCAATGCTTACCACAAAGTATCATCTGAGTCATGGTAGCAGGTTTAAAGGTGCATGGCTGGTGTCCTTATGGTGCGTGCTCCAGTATTAATAAACACTGAGTAGGGTTCTTATATTTATTGTTTATTCAAAAACAACAACAAACACTCATTCTTAAAGTGTTTTGTGCATTCATACCTTGAAACAGTATGATGTATTTAGGTAGCAAAGAAACTGAGCTTGTTTTACTTATATTTCATTTTTGTAATTATTTGATGTTTCTTTATATAATATGTAACACCAGACATGACTGGAATGTATTTTTTAAAAAATAAATGAATATGTAAAGAATTATTTCTCTTTTGTTTGGGAAGAGGGGTGGGGATTTGACATGCCAGCAGAGTCAAGTTAGGCATTTTCCAAATATTTGACATGCTGAGCCCAAAAGGTTCACCATCACTGAACTAGAGTATAATCCTGCTATTACAGAAGAACTAAATAATTGAACAATTCTCCTGGATATTCATAAGAAGATAAAAGACACAATACCCTCTTTATTAATATTAATATTAAATGATCAGAAATCAGTTGTAATTTTATCTCAATTTTATTATGAAATCTAATTTTCATGTCTTTGGAATCTTAACTGCATTTTATCTATCTATCTATCTATCTATCTATCTATCTATCTATCTATCTATCTATCTATCTATCTATCTATCTACCTACC